ACCCTAAACACTAAGGAAAAAAAAGTTAATCCAGGCCTTTTCTCCAAGCCACCCCCAATCTCTTCCTCTCCTCTCCCATCGTTGATGCAACTTTTTGAACACCTGAAAGAGTATCTAGAAATCACAAATTAAATTACTCGCAAGCGCACGAATCAACAATAGTATAGAGATATGCAAGTACGAGGTCGAATCCACAAGGATTGATAAATAAAAAAAACTTACTTAATTAATCGCACTAAACCCAATGAAATGAACGATTGACTGATTTGAGTGATGAATTAAGGAAAACTTAAATTGCAAGAATTAAAATAAAGAAAAAAAAACAAAATAAAAATATAGGTTTAAAAGAAAAAGTGATGAAGATCTAAGGTTATGAATTCACCAACGACAATCCTATTTCCTTTTTTTAGAACCAATTACTATCCAATTATGATGCCAATGTTAAAGGTTGTTCTTTCTAAAGTATGAAGTAAGCCTGTCAAGGTCATAAATCGTGTATCCCTATATGCGAATTATACCATGTCAAGGTGTCAAAATTTAACATATAAGAACCCGTTAAGATTAGAAGAATTCAATCAACTAAGTAAGACTAGTGGATGACATTTCTTTCCTAGCTATCTACTCTTTTTAATCTTAGTTCCAATAAACCTATATCTTCTCTCTCTCTCTCTCTCTCTCTCTCTCTGTGTGTGCAGTAAGATTAGAAGAATTAAATTTTTTGACAGATATTAAAATTAAAATGAAAACATATATCCACTACTACATTTTTCACTTTGCGCGACGAAGAAAATTTCGTCGCGCAAAATACATTATAGTCGCACAAATTTTAGCGCGACAGAAACTTCGTCGCGCAGATTCCGTCGTGCAAAGATCGTGGAGAAAGACTTTGCGCGACGAAATTTTTTCATTCGTCGCGCAAAGAGACTTTGCGCGACGAAAAAATATTGGTCGCTCAAAGTGACTTTGCGCGACGAAACATATTGCTCAAAATTTTTTTAAAAAAAAATTCCCTCGTCCCATTTTTGGTACCCGCCCAAATTTTTAGAGTTTTGCGCGACGAATATTAATGTCGCGCAAATATTTGCGCGACGAAATATTTTGGTTTTTGACTTTTTGTTTTATTATTTCTTTAATATTAATTTAATTATATTAATTATTTCGAATTTTTAATTTTTAAATTAAATTTAATTGTATGATTTTTTTCGTTACTTTAATTTAAATTGATATTAATTTAATTATATTAATTTATTCAAATGTTTACTTTTTAAATTTAATTTAATTACTTTAATTTAAATTGACATATTCAAAATAAAATTACATATGAAAAATAGTGATCAAATTATCCAATAAATATATATATATATATAATATTCAAAATGTACACATAAATTAACAAAGTACAATAAATAAATAAAAGGGATAATCTCCCCTAAAATTGTTATACCACAAATCCAACCCAAACTCCAATCCCTCCCCTTTACTCAACCCCAAACCCCACACAAACTCAAAACTAACTCCAAAAACACATATTAATGAAAAAAAATTAAAATTTGGAGAGAATCTACCTTTTGGCAAGATTGAGAGTGAGTGAGAATGAGAGAGAGAAATGAGTGTGAGAGAATTAGAGAAGATAGTGATAGAGAGATGAGAGAGTGAGTGAGAGTGAGAGATAGTGAAAAGAGAGATGAGAGAGTGAGTGAGAGTAAGAGATAGTGAAGAGAGAGATGATGAGAGATTAAGTGAGAGGAGTGAGAGTTAGAGAAATGGTGGGATTTGGGGAGAGGGAAAGAGAGAGGAGAGGAAAGAGTAGAGAAAGACATTGAGAAAATGGTGGAGGAGTTATTTTTATTTTAAAAACCGTATCACTTTGCGCGACGAACGACATTGTTGGTCGCGCAAAGCTTTGCGCGACGAAAAATATTGGAGTATTGGTCGCGCAAAGTTTTGCGCGACGAATATTAGTATATTGGTCTCGCAAAGTCAAAAAAAAAAATCCCGCGTCCCATTTTTGGTACCCGCCCAAATTTTGAAATGTTTGCGCGACGAAAAATACATATTGGTCGCGCAAAGTCTAAAAAATTAAATAAAAAAATTCCCGCGTCCCATTTTTGGTACCCGCCAAATTTTTGCGCGACGAAAATATATATTGGTCGCGCAAAGTCTTAAAAAAAAAATTTTCATCCCGCGTCCCATTTTTGGTACCCACCCAAATTTTTAAAGTTTTGTGCGACGAATTGTTGGTCGCGCAAACTTTTGAGAGACGAAAAATTGGTTCATAGCACGATATTTATAAAAATAATTGTTATGAATAATAAAATTATTTTTTTTACGATTTAAAATATAAATAAGGTTAAAGCTACTTAATAAATGTATATACCAATTTCTTAAGTGTTATACGTACAAAATAAATAAATTTAAAGCTACTTAATAAGTAAATATATATATATACACACACCATTCAACGATCCAACCGTCAGACTTGTTTGTATATACTTCAAGATCGTATACCCCAAAAATTGTAAAAAACAAACATTCGGAGACCTAGTAACGGGACAAAAAATTTCAACGGTTCTTAATGAAAAATCACGATTTAACGGTTATTTTAACTCCGATTTTGATGATTTTTTACAGCTACACTCCTTGACCCTATATGAATACAATGAACTAATTCGATCGTCAATTTAAAATATTTACACTAATGGATACCACAAAATCTTATGTTATATTTAACAAAAGTATAAATTAACTCTTAATTGTTAGTGAATATATTGTTTTGATGGCATACGCATTCAAAAAAACAAGTTTCAACGATCCAACCGTCAAACTTATTTGTTTATACTTCGAGATCATATACGCCAAAAATCGCAAAAAATAAACATTCAGAGATCAAGTAACGGGACAAAACTTTTCGACGGTTATAAATGAAAAATCTTGATTCAACGGTTATTTTAACTCCGATTTTGATGATTTTTTACCGCTACACTCCTTTACCCTATATGAATACAATGACTGAATTTGATCTTCAATTTAAAATATTTACACTAGTGGATACCACAAAATCTTATGTTATATTTAACAAAAGTATAAATAAACTCTTAATTGTTAGTGAATATATTGTTTTGATGGCATACACATTCTATGAAACTAGTTTGAACGATCCAACCGTCAAACTTGTTTGTTTATACTTCGAGATCATATACGCCAAAAATCGCAAAAAATAAACATTCAGAGATCAAGTAACGGGACAAAACTTTTCGACGGTTATAAATGAAAAATCATGATTCAACGGTTATTTTAACTCCGATTTTGATGATTTTTTACCGCTACACTCCTTTACCCTATATGAATACAATGACTGAATTTGATCTTCAATTTAAAATATTTACACTAGTGGATACCACAAAATCTTATGTTATATTTAACAAAAGTATAAATAAACTCTTAATTGTTAGTGAATATATTGTTTTGATGGCATACGCATTTATGAAACTAGTTTGAACGATCCAACCGTCAAACCTGTTTGTTTATACTTCGAGATCATATACGCTAAAAATCGGAAGAAATAAACATTCAGAGATCAAGTAATGGGACAAAACTTTTCGACGGTTATAAATGAAAAATCACGATTTAACGGTTATTTTAACTCCGATTTTGATGATTTTTTTATAGCTACACTCTTTGACCCTATATGAATACAATGAACTAATACGATCGTCAATTTAAAAAATATATTTTCTAATAAAAACCCAATCCAAAAAACAATAATATATTTTTCTAACAAATATTTTAAAAAATATTTTATTTATTTTATTTATTTTTAAAAGGACTTTGCGAGACGAAGTTAATTGTTTCGTCGCGCAAAGTAGCTTTGCGTGACGAATTGTTTTTCGTCGCGCAAAGTCGCTTTGCGCGACGAACTGTTTTCGTCGCGCAAAGTTACTTAGAGCGACGAATTTTTTTTCGTCGCGCAAAGTTACTTTGAGCGACGACGTATTGTCGTCGCGCAAAAGTTGGTCGCGCAAAGTCGCTTTGAGCGATGAAAAAAAATTCGTCGCGCAAAAGTTGGTCGCGCAAGGTTTTTAGCGACGAAGTTTTAAGTTTCGTCGCGCAAAGTATCTTTGCGCGACGAAAAATTATTCGTCGCGCAAAATTTGGTCGCGCAAGGGTTGTTTTGTGGTAGTGTCTCCTCTCTCACAGCAGTCCTATCTCCGTATCAACCTTTACTCCATTTCAAGAATGACCACGAACCTTCAAGGGTAAAATGATGTTAGCCCTTTTTTAAATTATTCCGTGGTTCCAATTTTACCCCAAAAACATAAATAAGTTAAAAATTGATAATTATTTGGTATAAATGGGGATTTCTATCACAATAATGACAATATTTTATTATTTTAATATAGGGTCGTAAATAGGGTGAAAAATTGGGTTTTATGACAATAATTACTTCAATAAACTATATGTTATGCATAATTGTTGGAGTTGTACTTTTTCAATTTCTCCCCAAAAATTTTCTAAGGAGATGGTTTAGAGAACTCATTGTAGATGCTCTAAATATCTTAAATCTTGGGGACATAAGATTTGTTCACTTGGCCACATTACTAGATTTGTGGATTGCAATCAACAATAGGCAATTGATGTCCTACATCCATTATATCTTAATGAAAATGTACCTATTTTCAAGAAGTCCTAATATTTTTCCCAATATGTCATGCTTGCCTCAATTGGTTTTACTTATATTCGTTTTTTATTATTCGTAAGGTGTTTTATTTTATAGAGCATCCCAACAAAAACATATTCTTTTTTATTATCCAATAATTATTATTAATTCCTGCACACAGAATAATAAAAAAATCATTAATTTATCATTTTTTTAATAGGTGTTCACCTGATTTTTTTCATCCAAAAAGTCCGGGGTGATCTTATATATGGAGCACCCTACAAACTTTTTATTTGTCAAGCACAAACACAACACCACCTAAAAAATTAAGAAGTGGAAGAAGATGTTAAATCTCCTGAATGAAACCTTCTCAAGCTTGTTGCAACCTTTTTCCTTCAAGTATTTAGCACTTCTTGCAATTTTCGTCATCCTTATATATAAATGGTTCTCCACTTCCGCAAACTCATCACCACGTTCTCCACCAAAGCTCCCTATCATTGGAAACCTTCACCAACTAGGCCAGCACCTTCAGCGCTCTCTTCAAACCCTAGCTCAACGCCACGGGCCGCTCATGCTCCTCCATTTTGGAAGTGTGCCGGTCCTTGTGGTCTCCTCAGATGAGACTGCCCGCGAGATCATGAAAACCCATGACATCACATTCGCCAACAGACCCAAGAACACCTTCTTCAAGAAGATTTGCTACAACTTCAAAGACGTGGCCTCGGCTCCTTATGGTGAGTATTGGAGGCAGATGAAAAGTATATGCGTCTTAAATCTCCTTAGCAACACAAGGGTTCGTTCTTTTCGTGCGGTAAGAGAAGAGGAAACTAAATCCATGATCGACAATATAACTAAGCACTGCTCCTCATCCCCCTCCTCAGCATCATCAGCGTTTAATTTAAGTGAAATGCTCGAGACGCTTACGAATGATGTTATCTGTAGAGTGGCTCTTGGGAGGAAGTACAGCGATGGCGGGGAACGTGGGAGGACGTTTAAGAAGCTTGCTGGGGAGCTGACGTTGGTGATGTCGCGTATCCATATTGGAGACTACATCCCATGGCTTTCCTGGATCGCCCGTCTCAATGGTTTGGACGCCAAGTTTGACGATCTGGCTAAACGGTTCGATGAGTTTTTAGAAATAGTTGTTCAAGAGCATATGGATGAATTTGATGGTCTTACCAAGAATGAGGACCAAAAGGATCTTGTGGACGTTCTGCTTTGCCTTCAGGCTGATTCTCCTATTGATAGAGTTAGCATCAAGGCTGTCATCTTGGTAATTAACTCTCTCTCTCACTCTCTCTGTTACATTACATGCATAGTGGTGTTGGATTCCCTTATCTTTTTCACCATTGTAATGCTAGGATTACTCAGTTTGTTCAAAGAATGATGTTAAATTAATTATGCTTGTTATGTGATCGTATCTAAAGAAATAAATAAGTTTAACAAAAATTGAACCATATCTGAAATTTTTTATTGTCAAACTTGTGCTAGCCTGCCAAGAAACACAAAGAAAAAGATGTGTTGTGTGACAAGAGACTAGTAATATTAAAAAGAAAATATTTTGTAAAAACCTAATATAAGTCAAACATTTTGGATTAATGCGGTTTTTTTAAGGCTTATTTATTGATGTGCCCCCTATGCTGTTCCGAAAATCTCAATTTGTCCCCTACAGTTTCAACTGAGTCAATGTGCCCTCCTATGCATTCATTTTGTGTCTAACGTTTCCTCATTCCGTCAATTTACTCAATAATACCTTTAACTTGTTGACATGACATAGGTGTTTTAGTAATTTGACATATTTGTTTGAAGCATGAGCATTTTCAGGGATTTTGAATATTTCATTTTTAAGGTCTTCTACCTATATATATATAGATATATAGATAGATAACACGTGGGGTTATTCCTAATGAACCCCAATTCTTTTGGGTTTATATCTAATTTTCCATTAAATTTTAATCTATTTTTTCGGTTAAAATTCTTGTAGGATATTTTTGTCGGTGGCACTGATACCTCATTCACACTCCTAGAGTGGACAATGTCCGAGCTTTTAAGGCATCCAAGAGTCATGGAAAAATTGCAGAATGAGGTGAGGGGGATAGTGGGCAAGAAAACAGACATAATTAGAGAGGATGATTTGGTTGGAATGCACTACTTGAAGGCAGTGATCAAGGAGACTCTTCGCCTACATCCTTCAATTCCATTGCTATTGCCCAGGCTATCGACCCAAGATGCACAAATAAATGGCTACGACATTAAAGCCAACACACAAGTTATAGTGAATGCATGGCAAATTGGAAGAGATCCCAAGTCATACAACAAGCCAGAGGAGTTCGAGCCAGAAAGGTTCTTGGACAGTGCCATAGATTATAAAGGCAATTACTTCCACTACATTCCATTTGGGGCTGGCAGAAGAGGTTGCCCAGGAATTCAGTTTGCCATGGCTGTCCAAGAGATTGCTTTGGCAAATTTAGTGCACAAGTTCAACTGGGCGCTGCCCGATGGCACAAGAGGGGAGGACTTAGACATGACTGAATCTAGTGGAACAAGCGTTCGTAGAGTATATCCTCTTAAAGTTGTTCCTATTCCATATTCGGGCTAATATAGTGTTGGTGTATCCGAATTGGACCTCCTTTATTCACAGAAAATAACAAATTATAATATCTTATGCCATTATTTGGTAATAAGAATTTGAAATCATGTTTAGACATGTATTAAGAAAGTACTAAAATTTCAATAACTCAATTGAGTGGTCAAATGATATCGGATTCACGTGATTTTTTGTAGAGATGATCTTTGAATGAGTATCTACAAAATAGACAGTTTGGATTAGTGAAATACAATCCGAAGTGGGGCCTACAAGGGGTGTCCCTCAAATAAACTTATTTGAGGAATCCCTCAATGAAAGCTCTCTGGTTACTTTAAGAGAAAATGTCTAAATCCTCTTTCGAATAATTCGGGTAGTTCAATTTTTTATATAAGAATATTTGGTTGTCAATTTTTTTAAATAAAATTTTAGCCTTTCAAAATTGCACCTCCGCTAGAAAATTATTGAGTCCACCAGTGGTTATGGGTGTTATACTTGGTATTTCCAAACAAGTGTTTATGACAGACTGTCTTTTGTCCTATGTGTGTATGAGTTTGATGTTGTACTTCGACTCTAAATTTTGTCATACTTTGACTTATAAAAAAAAGCCTGCTGATTTCATTTTCTACATTTTAATATGGAAATTGGCAAATAGTAGGCACTGCTATAGGAGTTTTTTACTCTTTCATTCTATAAAAGTCGTACAAATCCTCAGAGAAAAGTCAAATAAATTGATCAAATCAGTCACTTTACAGATGCGGAGGCGATTTTCTCTTTTTACACTCGCTCAAGTTACTCTCTCAAATGCTTTGGCAGAAGAAGAGTAGGGAGGCTCGCTTCATCTACTTGGCTTGGTCCCTCTTAAATTTGAAATTCCATCTCCTTTTTCTCAAAAAAGAAAAAAAAGTAGTCAATACCACTTGATCGATAATGATGAATCTACAATCATTAAGAGATTAGTATTACTCTCTGGCAATAAATCTACATCGTTTATATTTTCTGTTTGTAAAAATAATAAACCGTTCTGAAGATTTTTCACTGTATTGATTTCGAAAGCTAAACAGAGTATTTATACTCTTACCCAAGCTTAATAGTTAAGTCTTAATGCCAATGGAGTCTAGCCTAGTGGAAAATGGCCTTAAGTTGCAGATCAATGGTTTCTTATTCTAACTCTTATAACACATTGGTAGTGTGTATGTGTGAAAAACCTCCGTCTTCTTATAATTTAAATTATTACCTATATTCAAAATAATTAAGTCCAAACTAAATGCTTAGCTGTATAAATAACGATCTAACTAATTTGTAAACAGACTAACCAATCCTACAGCTAAGGAGACACGCGGGTTTCCAAATTTCAATTATTAAGTTGAATATGAGACATTCTCCTATAGCTTTGTGTCTGTTTGTCTGTCTCCAAGCTCAGAATAAGATTAGGATCATTGGAGGCAATTCAGTTGGTGTTGAATAGTCATGTTATGGCCGTCATTGCTTACGATAAGTGTTGACAAAAAAATAGAATTTTATTATGAAGAGAAAAGGATAAATTATTAATTTATTATGTGTATAAGTCACAACTAGTTGTCTTAATAGTTTCTAATTTATTATGTGTATAAGTCACAATTAATTTATTAATTTTATTATGAAGACAAAATGGATATCACTAAAAGACACCAATTATTGAAGGCCACCGGCCTTTATCTTAAAAAATTTAGAAAATTCAGGACAAGTCCAATTTTGATGACATTTTTTTTTAAAACTGCTTATTTTTTAATCACCACAATCTCCAACGCTATCCAAGTCTTTTGACTTTTGTGCATTTTTTAATTTTTTGATGTTTACTTCTTAATTTTTTAATTTTTTTTAAGGGCTAACCTCATTTTACCCCTTGAAGGTTTGGGGTTATTGTTTAAAGGGAGATTCACTATTATATCCAATATAGGAGCCCAAATTATAAAAAAAATCATATATGAAATGGACTTTAGAAACACACCCAAAACCCATTTATAATATAACAAAAAGGTTTTTAACTTCTTTTAAATTACAAAACTGCAATTGATTTCTTAAAACAAACCAAATCCCAAAAGTTCATAAAATAACCCAAAACACTCAATAGGGAATCAAAGTAATTTAATAATCAAAATTGAATCCAATAGGGCCAACTATCAATTTTTGGATCTTTTTGTGATTTGTTTATAGAAATTAAATGGTGTATGGTTTATCTATAATATTAGTGCTAAGAATATGTATATTACTAAATATATCTTCTTTAAAATGGGTCACGGAGCATCAATTTTCTCAATTTACATCATAACGTCTTACAATTCAACCAATGTACACGTTTCGTCAATTTGACTGTTTGGTCTTTTGTTAAATGATGACGTGACAAAAGCACGGTCTACTTTTTAGCTTGGATGTAATTAAATATTAAGAAATAATATTTAAAAAGAATTTAATTTTTTTGACAGATATTAAAATAAAAATAAAAACATATATCTTCTCTCTCTCTCTCTCTCTCTAACCCTCACTCCATTTCAAGAATGTCCCCAAACTTTCAAAAGGTAAAATGATGTTAGCTCTTTTTTAATTATTATGTGATTTCAATTTTACCCAAAAACATAAATAAGGTAAAAATTAATAATTACATGGTATAAATGGGGATTTCTATCACAATAATGACGATATTTTATGCTTTTTACCCAAACCTTACCTATACCATAGGTATTTTTATTTCTATTTTGACCCAAAAATTACCTACAATACAGTTAAAAACCTACAGTATAAGTATACACCTCACAACCTATAACATAGGTGCTGTAATTGATGACACAAGGTGAGAATACTCTAAATTTATAGAGTCGACATTAATTGAAACCCAAAAACCTATGCATTAAAGAAGCATGAATCAACATAAATTGGTATGATTTTAGGAGAAAACGTGATTTAGGGATATGTTTGATATATTTGTCTTTTCTATTCAATGGCACATGTTGTATGAGCATATACAATCATGCTCCCTTTGTTTTAGTTAAAATATAGCTAAAAACACACAAAAGTTAGTTTAGGGAGTCATAAATATTAGGGAAGCTTTAGTTTTAAAACACAATATAGTTTACTAATTTGGAAGATAGGAATACAATTTCATCTAATTAGCATAAGGCCAAAGACCAAAATGTAGTACCTAATTTTTACAATAATATCATTAAAAAATTTCACAAAGTACACACAATGCCACTCCATCTAAGGCAAGTATACTATGTCAATGTCCACATCCGGCCAACCGCCACTACAGGCCGGCGGTGCCCACAGTCGCAACCGTCGCCCACCGCCCACCGCCCACCATCCACCACCCACCTTCGCCGGTTGCTGGCCGCCAGCGCCCCCGGCCACTTGCCACCACCACTGTAGGCCTGCCGCCGTCTGCAAGGGGCCAACTATGTTGACCTTTATTCACCTTTAAAAAACAAGATTTTGCATCCTTGAAGGGACTCGAATCTTAACCCTCAAAAGAGGAGGGCTCACTCACAAACCACTACACCAAACTTGATTTTATAATATTTATTTAGTTATACAATATTTATATAAACAAAAATACTGCACGCAAAAATTGCAAATAAAAACAGAAATTGCAACAAAAATATAATGTAGATATCTATTATGTAAAAAAAACAAAAACAAAAACAGCAACAAAA